TTAAAAGGAATGAAATCATGACACTATAACATGGATAAATCCTGAAGATCTTACAGTAAGTAGAATCAACCAGATAAATATTATATTCCATTACTCTGAATAGTCAAACTTATACACAGGTGAAGTTGAATAGTGATGTCCAGGGCTTGCAGGAAACAGTAGTAGGAGTTGCTGTTTGGTGAGGTGAGTTTTGTTCTCAGAGGATAATACAAATTTAGAGAAAAACAACAGTAACATCTGTACAACAATGTCACTGAAATGTATACTTGGGAATGATGATGAAAATGGTCATTTTGATATCATGTCTGTTTCAGCACAATGTTGAACTTTAAGTTGAAAAGTTACAGATCTCAAAAGCCTTTGATATTTAATATCTATCTCATAAAAGAAAAACAAATATATGTTGGTGGAATGGAAAAAATGTGGAGGTTGGGGTAGAGTTACCAAGATTAGAGTTGACAGAAGGGCTCTGAATGACTCATCTTGCAGTTGATTTTGCCCAGCAGTCACCCCGGGTCTTGGTACTTAAATTGCATGCTTCTATACCATGGTTTGCATATAGGCAGAGGGGCTAATGACACTCTGAGGAGAGGCTACAGCTCCCCACTGAGTCACTTTTGGGGCACCATTTTCTTTCTCCTGGGACTCTGAGTGCCTCCCCGTGACATTCAGCTGCAATTGTATAAACTTTCATTCCATTAGAGAGGAACATGTTAAAGGGACCTTCTTACACCAAAATTAATCTGTAAATGATTGCTTATTACACAACTTTAGGATTATGGTAAAAAATATGATTTCAAAGGATTTTCTTGCAAAGATTTCTAGAAGATGTCTGCAATGGCAAAATTTTTGAGCTAAAATATATCCCCTGAATGTTACAGTGAAAAGTCTTAGGCAATATGGTGTATCATGTTGGCAGGCTGGACAGTGCATATCTCTTGGTATTCTATTTACTCTTCCACTTTGTAGGAGCAAATATTTATTTTTTTACAGGTAGTCACCAAATGTTTAACAGAGTAGTATGGAATACTGAATATAACATTTGCCTTTTAAAGAACACAAACTGATAAAAAAAAAAAAAAGAATATTTATAGTAGCTTTATTCGAATGAAAAAGTTCAGGAACTAACGTGATACAAATGGCTCATTAAAGCCATACTAAAGTAAAAATATACTAAATGTCATGTATTCTGACTGAACTCTGCAGCCATAGTTAAACATCTGAGCTGGTTAATTTTTATTTTCTTGATCTGATTATTTATTCCCCCCCCCTTTTTTTTTTTTTTTTGCTGTTCATGAAGCTAATAAGCAGCCATACTTTAAACACAGAACTTTTATTATTCCCAGATCAAACTGTGATTATACATGATTATTGCAAATTCCCAGGAATTAACCAGAGTTTCGTGTGGACTTGGAAGATCAAATCCTCTTTTAAAAAGCTACTTAATAATGAAAAATGATGCATCACTTTAAGTTGTGTGCTCCTTAACACTAAAAGAGCATTGGTTTCATAATAGAGTTGTGGAGAGGAAAGGAGGGAGGGCAAAGAATGGTTAACAGGTACTGAGTTATAATTAGTAGTACAATATCCTAGGGCTCTAGCAGCAATCCGGTGACACAAATAATGATAATGGAGAGAGAGAGAGTATGTGTGTGTATGTGTGTGTATGTGTGTGTGCGCAGGCTGCCAGATAGGATCTTGAATGCTTTCATCAAAAAGAAATGATAAATATTGAGGAGGTAGTTATGTTCATCCTGATTGAACACTGTGTAATGTGCACATGTATGAACGTATCATAGTGTTATCTCGTAAATATCTGTAACTGCCCAAAGACAATTAGAAGTAAAAAGTTTTAAAAACTCTCGCAAAGCAAAGAATAGAGAACTTCCTCAACTTGATCAAGAAAGCCTACCAAAACAACAACAACAACAAAAATCCTTTTCTTTGGTCATTTAACTTTAACTTTTTTCATATGAATTATAACTCTGTCTTTAAACTATTGGTTCATTAATTTGAGAGAGAGAGGGAGGGAGAGGCAGAGAGCTTCCTTTTGTTGGATCACTGTCTCCTACCCACAGGAGCTGAGGTTGGACAGGTTGGAGCCAGAGCCAGGGACTGAATCCAGGGCTCCCAGGTGGGCGACAGAGAACCAGCTACCTCAGTCATCCTGTGCTACTGTCCCTGGGTGTACATTAGCAGAAAGCTCAAGTGAGGAGTCAGAGTGGGATACACAACCCTGGCACTCTGATTATCACCTTCATTTTCATCGAGGGCAACATAGCACTGCCATACCCAAGAAAAGCAAAAATCTCAATATCTATCAGTAAAGGTAGCAAATATTTAAGTTAATTTAGACCTGGGCAATGATTTTACTAGATTTTAAGCATTTAGTGGACTAAAAAAAGTAAGCAATTTCATGAAAAATAAAGAAAAGGAATGTAAAGAGAAGAAGAAAAAGGAAAACTAACTCTGACACATAATAGTATGGTAATAAATCTGATACATTATTTTATAGATACATAATGCTGTTTTGTTCACTGACTTGGCAAACAACTGACTATGTTTTATGACCAAAGAAAATCTTTTTCGGGTGAGATTTGAGAAATAATTTTAATAATAAAAGTTATAAATTTTAAAATATCTGTAAATAAGTTATTCAAATTTGCATGTTTTTTTAATCTTTCATTTCTAAACACTTAGTGTATAGGAATCCTATGAGGCTATGTTAGTTATTCATCCTTGCAATAATCATCTCCTGCTTGTGTTTCCCAAACTTATCCATTTTTTCCTTTTGGTGTCTTTTTAAAATGTAATATTTGATAATTTAAGTTTCTCCTTTCCCTTAGAAATTCAGGTTCAGAAATTCCCAAGCTGCAACTGCAGAAGCTTGCTTTCTTTTTTATGATATGGTGAGAGACAGAGACAGTGAGCTCCCAACAGTTAGCTCACTCCCCTGATGCCCACAGAGCCAGGACACCAAAGTCAAAAGCCAGAAACTCAAACCAAGTCTCCATCGTAGGTGACAGAGGTTGAGCCATCACCGCTGCCTCCCAACCCCCACAGTAGAAGGAAGGTGAAGAATCTGGAATAAACCAGGTGCTACATTGTGGGTCATGGGCATCCTAACTGGTATATCAACTGGGGACCAAAGGCCTTCCCCGGAAACCTTTAAAAACCGTTATTCTCCCCTATTGCCAGCCATCCTAGATGATCTTAAAACCGGACAAGTTTGGGAAACACTACACTTAGCACTGAGAGATACGAAGTAAAACTTGTAAGTCTAAACTCTGAGCCAACCAAAAACATCAGTCTAATTTCATTACAAGATTCAAAGTGTTTTTCCAAAGACATTAATGAGGACTCATATCAGAAAATTTCTCACACACAACATCCTCAGCTTTCGATCTGTTGTTATTGATCATTTAGTTAGCAATGATCTTTTAAGGAATTTCTATTTACTATTAGACATGGAAATACATATAGTAGAATCTTAACTTTTGTTTGGGGGCCTTTTATGTCAAAAAGTTCTCTTCTTTTTAATGTGTATGTTTTTCACTCAAAAGACAAAGTGACAGAGAGTGGTGGGGGGGTATCATATTTTGGGGAGGGTATCATATTTTTGTCTGAGGTTCCAAACCTGGATGTCTGTAAGGGCCAGGCCTGGTCTGGGATGAAGCAGGGGGCAGTGTAATCCTGGTCTCCCAAAGGGGTGAGGGGAGCCAACCACTGCAGCATTATCACTGTCTCCCAAAGTGGCTGGAGCCAGGATTCAAACGCAAGCACTCATGAGACCTTAACTGGTATCACCATGCAGGCTAAACAGTGGTCCCTCCTTTTCTTCAAGGCTGCCACAAGTATGGCTCTAATTTAAGTCTGTAAAAAGAGGTTTACATAAAAGGGCATGAGTCAAAGCTGCAATGTCCAAGCAAGAGGTAGCCTATTCCGAAAGTTTGAAAAGAAGTGACAGCTTATTCTATGACGAAAGTAAAGTGCAATTTAAGCATTTTACGTAATCCTCTTCAAATGCATTGTAAAAATCCACGAACTTAAAGTACTAAGCAAGAATGTAAACAAACACCTGTTGAAACATGAACTCTCCCATTACTTTTATTTCCGTGTATCTTCCTTATCCGAAAGGCTAAGGATGAGATGACCTTGCTAATCTACCAGGCAGTAGTAGCGCTTGAGCACATTTACAACATCAGACTGACACCATCAGCGCTGGTTTCAAAGTTCATTATCAAGGAAAAAGGGCCAAAAAATGTTTTATTCAACACATGGGATGCACTTTGGTAATCTGTCCACAGCACGGTTCCTTTGCCACCGTCTACTCAGCGAGCAGTGTCTGCTGACTGAACCCCCCAAATTCCCCTGAAGATGGGGAGCTCAGCCTGACAGGCAGCATGGTGGCTTCCATGAGTGTTTCGTGGGTGGACTACATAAGCTAGCGATTTTCTGCCGTACACTTCGTGTCTTAACACTCTGCATGACTGTTCTGTAGTAAGAAAAATAATTTTTCCCCCATCTAACCCTTAAGCCAACCGACTATGCATGTCTCATAAAACAGCCTTTCAAAAATGCAGAGGGTCAGAAGCCTGCAGGACTGTGTCGTCCCCAGGAGTGGACTTGATACTCAGGCAGGACCCCTGCAGCAGCGACCACGAAGCATCCCCCGGGGCCCACGAACAGAGGGGACTGGCTGGCTGCGCCATCTACCTGTGGAACCCGGGCCCCAGCTCTGCACAGCGGGTGTCTGGGCTTCTTCCACCTAGCAATGCTGATTACTCTTGCTGCTACTCTCTTCCCGCCTCCCCTTTCCTTTGCGGCTGCTTTTGCAGAAGCGTCCGGTGGGACTGCGAGCTCCTGTGACCGGCTAGCTGCCACTGCGATGCCGGGGTGGGCAGGGCAGGGCCAGGCCGAGGCCAGTCTGGCTCCCGGCACCCTGGGATCTCTCAGGCCGGGGTGCGGCGGGGTCGGGCTCCAGGCCGGGAACCACTCACCTGGCGCACGGAGAGGCGATGGCGCGCGCGCTGCTCAGGCAGCCGGGGACTCAGGCCCCGCGAGGAAGGGACTCATCCAAGGGGGACAGCGGCAGCCCTGCGCTGGGGATGCAGTGCCGGGGAGGAGGAGGAGGAGGAGGCTGCAGCTCTCCCTCGAGAAACGGAAGAGGCGGGGGAGGAGAGAGGGAGGAGGAAAGGACGCAGAGGGTGGGGGGAGGCCGGGGCCGCGGGAGGCTCGGAAAGGCGCGCCAGGCGCCTGGCCGCCCGCGGGCGAAGGGCAGGGAGGAGGCCGAGGTCACGGGAGGGCAAGGAGAAATCGGGCGTGTGGCGGCGGCCGCCGGGCTGGGTCTCGGATCGCCGAGCTGTGCAGCGACCGCGCGGCCGCCTCTGGTCTTACCCACTGGGAGCGCGGCGTGGAGCGGCGCCGTGACGCCGCGAGGCATCCCACGGCCGCCCGAACCAGCCGCCAACAACGTCACAGGGCCAGTGATTCAGAGGGGCGGCCCTCGAGGGGCAGGCCAGGGCAGTGGCAGCTCGCCCACCGGCGCCGCGTCTGATATTTTGCTCCTAGCCGCCGCCCACAAACCCGCCCCCAAGTTTGCCAGTCTTCCTGCCCCACTTCCTCAGCGCTGTTTGGGGGCTCCTGTCTCTGACAGGCAGCAAAGTGGCCACGGTGGACTTCCTGCCCGGCCCATTGTTCTGACAGAAATGTCAAGGGTGCTGGCTGTTCTGCTAACCGGTATCTCCTGGGCGCTGACCTTATAAGGTGTGACAGTCAGGGCCACCCAGACAGGAAGCACCTCACGTGAGTGGCTTCAGCCTCGACAGCCAGCCAGGGCCCTCGGTATACCTTCAGGGTGGTGTTGCATCCCACGGGAGAAGAGGAATGGATGGGGAGGGTGAGAGTGGGTGTTTTCAAGGACACTGAAAGCTTTTGAGGGGCAGGGGCCTCAGGCTGGCCCTGCAGGCTGGTGCTGTTGGTGAGAGCGGTGGGTCTTGTGAAATGGCTCACTTTCAGGGCACCGCCAGGAATAAGTCTCACCACACAGATTCAGGCTACGCCAGGGAGGAGCCGCCTCTGCAGCGGGCAAGCAGGCCCTTCCACCTTGAGCGCTGGGATGAGCCCCGGCTGCACACCTGTATCTCACTCTCCGGTCCCCGATTGGCAAACTCTGTCGGCACTAATCTCCAGGTGTTTTTGTTTTTGTTTTACTTGCTCATCCACAACGGGCTTGCTGTGTTGCCAAGGCTTGGTCCTCAGCAGACAGGAACCTGAGTCAATACTTGAGTCCTCCCACTCCAGGAAATGGAGCCTTCAAACTTGGTGTCTCTGCAGCGGAGCCCATGTTGGGGGCCTGGACCTGCACCTGTGGCCTCAAGCTTAGGCTGCTTCTCTCCGGTGCCAGCCACCTTCCCTGGCCTTTATCAAAGAGCAAGCCGGCAGACACATGGGCATTCTCCCCCAGATTCATCCTCTCAGGGTCATCCCATTGCCTCTATGAATGAATTAATCTCCAAGTCATATTTATGGTGGCCAAAATCAGTAATGGTTTGATCAGGATCTATAGGAGTGAAGAGATATATACCATAAGAAATAAAAAAGAACTTGTTTCCAAGAGGATAGGAATTTGGGCAGAGGTGGGTGGCAAGGAATTTGAATTCATTCCATTTTCCACTTTGCTATCTGGAAGATTATCCTGAATCAACACAACTCCATGGTTTTTCTGCTTGTTTAACAGCCTTCTGTGGTGGGACCGGTATGGTGGCCCGATAGGCCGAGCTTAAGGTGGCATTCTCAGGTAGCACCCGCATCCCACCTTGGAGAGTTTAGGTCCCACCTGCATGCATCACCTCCGATCCAGCTCCCTGTTTATGGTCTGAGAAAGCAATGGAGAATGACTCAAGTCGTTGGGCTCTCACCCACACAGGAGACCTGGGGAAAGCACCTGGCTGCAGGCCTTGGATGGGCTCACCTCCAGCCAGTGTAGCCATTTCTGGAATGAACCAGTGGATGGAAGACTCTCTCTCTCTCTCCCTGCCCCTACCTCTACCCCCCTAACCTGCCTTTCAAATTAAAAAAATAAATTAATTAAAAATAGATATTAAAAAAATAAGCCTTCCTTGGCTCCAAATCTCTAGTCATTTTCAAGAAAGGCTCCTGGGAGTGGCCTCCCTCTCTGTGTCAGTCCTGCAGGTCATGCTTTATATACCAGGGTACCCTAGTGCTTTCCTTTGCTAAATGCAGAAACTGGTCTCATACCTTTGCAATCTGACTTGTGATTGCTTTTATTTAGGTCACTTGTTACTGCTATCATAATAACGAATGGCCCTGTGCAAGTGTTTTATAGCTGGGTTTTTTCCATCAACTCTATGGTAGTTATTACTGCTATGCACCTTTCAGAAACATGATGACTGAGATTTGGCAACGTTAAACAACTTATTCAAGTGTGTATTATGTGGCAAGGCTAAATTTGAACCTAGCAACTTGATTCTAGGACTCACATAATATTACCTACTCATCCTTTGAAAATTTCTCTCAAAACTCAATTTGAGTGAGATTAGAAGATTTTAAAATGCTTTAAGTCTGAACAGGACAAAGAGAAAATTCAATTAGATTCCACTTCTAACCTCAAAGTAAGTGTGGAACCAAAGGTAAAAATGCAAGAAGAAAAATGTCAGACTTGATTATTGAGTTCTTAATTTATTTTGTGTAACCAAACCAAACCAAACAAAAACAAAAAACAAATGAAGCTGTCAGTGTGCAGTGGTTCAATACGGTAATACTCACCTGCTGTGCCAGCATCCCATATGGACACTGGTTCATGTCCTGACTACAGCACTTCCCATCCAACTCTGCTTCTAACCTCAGAGAACAGCAGAGGATGGCTAAAGTACTGCACCCAGTGGGAAACAAACAAACAAACAAACAAAAAACCACATCTAGTTCCTGGCTTCGAATTGGCTCAGCTCTGATTGTTGTAGCCATTTGGGGAGTGAACCAGCAAATGGGAGATCTCTATGTGTGTCTCCTTCTCTCTGTAAATCTGCCTTTCCAATAAAAATAAATAAATCTTAAAAAGAAAGGACAAGTGAAGATAATTTTTAAAAAATTCATGAAAGATTGGAGGTCTTGTAAATGGAGATACCTTTTTCTTTTTTTTTTTTAAGGTTTGTTTATTTTTATTGGAAAGGCAGACTTAGAGGGAAAAGGAGAGACAGAAAGAAAGATTTTCCATCCACTGCTGCTTCACTCTCCAAATGGCTACAGCAACTAGAGCTAAGCCAATCCGAAGCAGGACTCAGGAGCTTCTTCCTGGTCTCTATTGCATGTGCAGGGTCTCAAGGCTTTGCCTCCTCAGCTTCCATTGCTTTCCCAGGCCATAAGCAGGGAGTTGATGGGAAGTGGAGCAGCCAGGACACCAACTGGTATCCTTATGGGCTGCTGGTGCTTGGAGGTGAAGGATTAACCAATCGAGCTATACACCAGGCACTCTGTAATGCAGAGATCTTACAAAGAAAATAACAATGTTCTATTCCAAACCACAGTACAAAAATATAAATCAGCCAAGTCATATGTATGAAAAAAAAGAAAACTATAAATGGTCAGACATGTTTTTGACTGAGCTGATATTTAAAATAACAGCACAACATCGATTGCTGGGAACAAAATAATATACAGAGCTAGTAGTGATCTGGGCCAGCAGGATATGTGACAAATGTCCCACCTCAGGCATTACTGGCTCAGATTCTAGATTTGGCAGAAAATTAAAAAAAAAAAAAAAGAAAGAAAAGAAAAGAAAAAAGCCTTCAAAAAATGTTCACACCCTTTGGCTCAAAAATTACATTTCTGGGAATTTATAACACAGACATGCTTTGTTATAGTGGTCGACAAACATTTTCTATTAAAGGTTGGATAGTAAATACTTGAGGGTTTGAAAGCCACATAATAACTGTTGCTTTTTTCTCTCCCCTTTGCTGTGGGTGCTTAAAAACATTGTATTTACCCACGCTGAAACTCTTAATTTGAGAACTGCACAAAAACAGCCAGTGGCCCTAAAACTGGTCAGAGGACAGTAATGTTTGCAAAAGTACGCCACACCGAAGTACGTCACTGGGCCTTTTGGCAGTGGCCAAAAGAGAAACCAAACTAAATGAGAACAGAAGTTAGTTACAACCAAATACAAGGACACCCTTTAAAAAAGTCACTGGCATTTATTGAATACTAAAGTATGTATGATGTGTTAAGTAGAAAATAAGAGTTTACAAGGGCAGAGATGTGATGTGATCCCAAATACAACCTACTCATATAGTTATTCACATATGTGTAGAAAATGATCCAAAGACATAGACATCCAGTAAGATGTCTATAGTGGCCTGGGATGGCAGGAGCAGGGGACTGCAGATCCACCATTTGGGGTTTATGTTTTGTTATGTGTGTGTGTGTGAGTATATGCATTTCTTGCACCGAATATCCCTGATTTTTGTCATATGCAAAAACCTAAAAAAATAACAAAGCACTTCAACTTCAGAAGATCTTCCCTGACTCCATTCCTCCAGGTGGACACGAGTTGCTCTGTGATTCTACAAAGGTCTTTTTGAACACCACTGTTTACTCACTCACAAAATGACTAATACCATCACTTAGCTATCTTTCCCCTGCCATGGGGCACCCAAGTTCCCAATATTTCTCTAGTTCTGTGGGTAAGGCATCCTCTATTTGCCTTTTGCGAGATCCATATCTGCCTGTCTCTGCTGGACAGCCCTAGTAGGGCAAACTTTTATAACCAGTTCCCTCCTGCTCTCTCGCCAGCTGGCCTTGACCCATGGCCCATGCCAGCACACTGGGGGCTGGGAAAGGGAAAATTGGAGTGTTTTTTTTTTCCCCCCACTTCTTTTCCTGCTTCTGGCTGAGTTCTGACAATGACTTTGTCCCTTCAAGGCTCCTGCACAGGCGGCCCCTCCAGCTTCAGCCAGGTTCTGCCAACTTGATTCCATCCCCCGCCCCCAACTCCCTTTGTTCCTCCAAGCTTTGTCATGCTTCCTCTGCTGTAAGGGCCTGACCACCTGCATGGTCATGTTCTTTCCCCTCATCCAACCCAAACCCTAGCCCTAGCTTGTGTACACAGTCTCTTCCACAAAATCTCTTGGTTTGAAAC